ACTGCGCGCGCACACACACACACACATATGTATATATATATATATATATGTATATACATACACACACACACACACTCTCTCCGCTGTCGTCCAACCCACTGGCACATAATGTCTGTGTCTGTGTCTGTGTGCATGTGTGCGTGTGTGCATGTGTGCGTGTGTGCACGTGTGCATGCGTGCATGCGTGCATGCGTGCATGCGTGCATGCGTGCATGCGTGCAGTGTGCATGCGTGTGCTTATTGTTCGTGTGCTTGCGCGTGTGCGTGCGCGTGTGCATGTGCGGGTGTGCATGTGCGGGTGTGCGTGCGTGCGTGTGCGCGTGCATGCGTGCGCGCGCATGCGCGTGCGCGTGCGCAAAAATCATCGTAGCCTATCGTTTTCGCGACCTAAACCGTCTTCGCCACCTTAAACCATTCCCAGAACATGGTCTTCAACAATCGTTACGTCACCTGCTTGGAATTCCCACCTCCCCCTCTCCCCCCCCCTCACCCCCTCCCTCCCCTTCCTCCTCCCTCCAGGGCCGGTATACATGGGCATCTATATTAGTTTATGTATATACATACATACGTATACATAAATACCATACATATATATATATATATATCTACCATACATATATGTATATGTATGCATATATGCAGGTACGTAGAAACACATATCTGTGTATGGTACATGCACGTACGTATGTACGCACGTACGTGCGTTTGTGCGTGGCCGGGGCCTTTGGGGGTTTTGCTTCTCGGGATCTAGAACTTCACCGCGAGGCTCCAAGACCTTCAAGCCGGACAGGGGACCTGTGTCGCCCTTTGGTCCTTTGACCATTTGGGCAACGGCATTACAAAGGTCCTCCCCGGTTGAACACAAAAGTGGGCCCTTTTAGCTGCACAAAGCTTCCTACTTGGGTCCTACCTGGGTCGCCATTACCTGCTTCGGAGTCTGGGCTTAGGGGAGGGGATCACGGCAAGCCGCGAATGCAGACGTAAAAGGCAATTGATCGGATGCCTTCCTTCTGGAGGATGCAAAGAACGAGCGGTTTATTTACTCTGTGGTTTCACCCCCCAATTCCCAAACTTTCAGGATCGGCCCTAGCTCTCAACCGAGTCGGCTCACAGAAGCCGATCCCTGCGAGATCGGCTGTCGAGAGGTGCTGGGCGGCTCCCCGGCTGTCGCTGGCATCCATCGATAAACATTACTGACGGCAAACCAGCCCTGAGCCCACCCGAAATCCCATAGTGTCTAAGGTCACTAGCGTGCAGGGCCCATCTGTCCTTACAGGGGTTGCCGAATTGGTCGCCTCTGGGGCCCCCACGTTGCAGAGCCCTAGCCTCTCAGCCCGCACATGTCGCACCCTCGACCCTGAATGAAGACCATAAATGCCACACACACACACACACACACACACACACACACAGTGCTGCTACGGCCGACGAAACCTGACTCGTACGAGACTACCAGCTCTCAGGCCTACACCTGGGATCCTCTTAAAGAAGGAGAGCCGCCGAGGTCTCTCGAATTGCAAATGCACGGCCGGGCGGGAAGGGAAAGAGGCCACACATCGTGGAAGGCTCTCGTAGACTTCGGGGTTTGGTGTCGGTATTGCTTTTGGGCATTTTGGGCTGAATTGAAAGCTTGGGGCATTTAGGGCTTAGGGTTGGGGAATTGGAGCTGTTGGGAAGCTGGAAGCTTGGGGTTGTCGGAGGCTCCATTCCCCAGGAGACCCATAGCGATGCTTCGTTCGCGCGTCTTCTGATCCCCCTCACCGTGACTGCCGTAACTGCGGTGCTTCACGAGCTTGGTCTTCAGGGGTCATTGTTGCGCATTGAAGCCTGAAGCTGTCATCTGCTGATGGGGCATCCGACCAATGGTCGTGTGACACAGCGCTTTCGCTGGAGCATCGGATATGAACACCAGGCAGACAGGGAAAGGACCGCCCCGCTTGCAGGGCTTTCGGCTTACAAAGATGATACACCAGGTCATGGTGATGAGTGGGTGGTTGGGTCGAGGGTTAGGATGGAGGTGAACTTAAAGCCTAGCCATCCCGAGCCCTTTAAAGTAGGGCTGCATCTTTTGAGGCGGACCACTGTTTCTTAACTTGCGCTTCGTGCCGGGGGCACTAACGAGTTTAGGGTTCAGGGACCTGGGCTTCGGGTGCCTGATGCCCCAGAAGAAGCGTTGCAAATCTCCGTAACTCTTCGGAAAGGGTCACCCGCCTGAAGCGAGGCTCCTTCGCAGAGTGGCGAAAGGTTTAGCAAGAGCGTTTTCGAGTTTTCGGGCCTTCAACCTTAAGCCCATGAGTCTCACATATTCTGGGGCTCGGGGTTGGTGCGGCCTTTTGATCGTTTCAAGATCAATCTACAACACCAATGACAGCGCATTGTGTCCGATTCCGAAGTGGATGAGCCCTGCCCAAAGAAACACAGAGAAACACTACTTAGGCAGACACTACTTAGGTAGTAGGTCCAGTAGGCGCTCGCACTGCGCAACCAAGCAACCCCCCCCCCCCCCCCCTTGCCGAAAAATCCCGGAAACGTCCTACTTCTCGAGTGTCTCGGCGGGGCCCGCGTCACTTGCACCCTCGTCAGTGGCTGCCTTAATGCCAAGGACAAACTGGCACTTCGGTTGGGAGAGCAGGTCGTTAGGGAGGACGGTGAGGTCAGCTTTAGGCAGCCAAAGAGGAAAGCCATGAAGTCGCATGCCAATTGGGTGGATCCAGGGGAAAAGAATATAAAAGAATATAATTTAGGGGCTGTGAGGGAAGAACTCTGGCCCTTAACTCCCGAAAGCCTCAAAAACCATTCACCATTCTTTTCGATCGTTAGGAACCATCCTGCCGTTTTCGAACAAGTGCGGATACTTCGCTCTCCGAGGAATGCTCTCCTAGGAACGCTCAGAGAACATCTCTCCTTGGCCTGGGGGCCACTGCTCGGCGGGATTCTTTGGGCATCTCTGGGGGCTCTTTGCAGGCTTCTCCGAAGAACAGGCACTTCAGAGGGAAGAGACCCAGGAGACCAGGCAGGACGCCAGGGCGAGGAGGCGAAGAGGCGAGAGGGGGTGAGAGGAGGCCAAAGGAGGCCAAAGGAGGCCAAAGGAGGCGAGAAGCATGGCTGACGTAACATCTAACAACCCCACACCGAGGTTGCAATTCCGGATGCTTGGTCCAAATCCAAACTTTTGTGGTCAAGCGACGCCCTCGTCTGCCGTGACGGGCTCGGCCAGGAAGTCAGTAGCAACCTGAAGGCCGGTGTCGCTCTGATTCTCGAGCTCCAAGGGCGTGCAAGGTCCGGGGCTTTGCGCTTAGGACTTCGTTGTCGGGGCGCTTGAGGTTGAGGCTTCGGCAAGAAGTTCGGGCTAGCCCTGGGCAGCAACTTGAAAGCCACACAAAGATCGCGCAAAAGCCCCCTGCAAAACAGCCAGCATCCGAAGCAAGGCTGCCCCACACAGCAAGGGTCACTGCTTGCACGTGTGGAGCGTTCAGGCTTAGGGTTACAGGATACAGAGGTCACCGAAACTGCTTCAGCGAAGGTCTGAAGCAGCCATGGAAGGCACTGCACACGCCGCTCGATAACTTGTAATTGCTCCCCGACACCCCGAAACTTCAAATCCCGAGAGCTAATCCACCAGCCCAAGGATCAGAGCCGCCCTCTGTGGCGCCGCCTGCGGTAGAGTCCTTGAACGACCACAAATGTTTCGGGCTTTCAGGGCTTTCGGTTGTCAAGGGTGTTGCCTTAGCTTTCGGCCGCATTGTCAGTTGAACGTCTGTGCCTGGGTTTTTAGCCGACCCGGACGGCGTACGCAACGCAGCACTCCCTAAGCACTCCAAAAACCCGAAGCCCTAACGCCCAAAGCCTAAACTCCCAAAAGACTCCCTAAACCCTCTTCCCTGAGTCCTAAACCCTGTTTGACAGTTTGACTCACAGTTTGACATGGTATTAGCTTACCACCCCCCATGCCCCGGAACTCAGCTGTGGAGGTGTGGATTCGTCCTGGCGAGTCAAGAGCGCCTTACCGTTCAATATGTGAGCCTTACGGATTTTTAGTGCTGCCATGCGCTCCCGACAGTGCGACTCAGAAAAGGTATCGCATTAGGCTTGCGCGTCGGCGCGGCTTCCAGGTTTAGGGTTGAGGGTTTAAGCTAAATAGCCTTGGAATGGAGAACGGCTCCATCAATGAAGCTATCTGCTTCGACCCATTCAAATTGTCGATACAACTTGCTTTGGACTTCTGCAGGAGTCTGGTCATGTCGAAGGAACGAATGTCCGGCGACCCGATTTTGCCTGCACGCTTCATTCAATGCATGCCTATCACCAGCAAGTGAGACGGGCGAGAACTGCATGCCATTACACGCCTGGCAAGAACTTCGAGGGCCCTCCGGCTGCTATCCGGAGCAAACTCTTCTCTATGCCTGCAAACTATAAAGACATCGAGCATGGACCATCGCTGATTTGCTGTCGCCAAAGAGACATTCCTTCGAGTTGAGTTTACCCACAGACCCCCAATATCCCTTATTTAAGGGCTCCTGATTAAGAATCCCTACCATATGTTTAAAGAATACTCCCTACTTTATGTTAGGGTTTAGGGTTTAGGGTGCAGGGTTTAGGGGGAATATCCCGAACTACATGTTAAGGCCAACAATTTGGCAAATCCGGATACAGTTATCTCTCCGGCGCAGCCGCCGAGCCGGCTGCTTGCTCGAACTCGGAACCTCTCGAGTGTAGATTTCAAACTGCCTACACAGCATCCGAATAACTGTAAGCCGTATGCACCTTGTGTGCACTGGCAATGCCAACTCCTACTTCGGATAATCCTAAATGACTAAGAGGTTTTGGAGTCTCTGGGTAAGGCCCCGGTTTCAGCCTGACGCCTGTGAGACTTGAGAGCCAAATCTAGACGCCTGAATGGCTTTAGGCTTTAGGGTTTAAGGCCATTAATGACTAGAATAGGGGTTTGGAGTCTGTTAGAGTTTCGTTCTATTGAGAAGCCCAAACCATGATATTACTAGTTATTTGGGCAGCTGGAGCAGGCCTTGCTTCCGAAGGCAGGATTGAATCTTGTCTGCTTGTCGGAAGTCATTGTTCAGCTGTATCCAGTGCGGCAAGTCCCCCCAGGGGAATGCTTCGAAACTCACGACGCATTTCGAATTCAATATGCCAGCAACCCATGAGAAGCCGCTAGGAGCAACCACCAACACGTCCGCCTGTGCCATGTGCGCCCAATCGTCAAGAATGTCACCATCCAGGTGAACATGCACGCCTGGCTGCCTGTAACGATTAAAGCTGGTACTCGGAAAGCTGCTGCTGGATGTTGAGAATATATGGATCTCAGCAGGTTTGAGCAACCGTCTGAGTAGGGACAAGAATCCCACATACAGCGCATCCGGCACGAGGCGGTCGGGACCTGGCCACCAATCTGTGGTGGTTTTTCGTATATCCCCACGGCGAAGATGTATGGCTATGCGGAGCTGCCCTGGTTCAAAATACTTCGTAGGACGGCCGAGAAGCGTTGTCGATAGTCGAAGTCGCTTGAGAAACGGCTGGCTGAGCAAAAACAAATCTCTTCGCTCGCCGGGTCGGGCACAGTTGTCGTTGACTAGAACCATTTCACCACCGGCCAGTTGGGGCTTCTGGCGTTCTAGCCCTCCTCTCCAACAGTGATCAAAATGGGGATTCCGAGCACGCAGGCGCAAGGCAGAAACATTGCTGCCCATGAACTCCGTCGTGAGATCGTGCATGTCAGCGGCTGTCATCCCGTGGGTAACATGTTCCGTGTCATAAGGCTCGTTGTACAAGAAGCCACCAAAACTGAAGTTGTGAAAGGTTGCAAATGCCATGTACATCACCATCTGCATCACACGCTCACCAACCCCATCGAGCCTTGCCACCGCATACATCATCACCTTGCGACCCGAGCCTTCTGAGCCTTCTGAGCCTTCTGGACACAAAGAACAGTTCAGCGGAGTTGACGGAGGCGAAGCTGACTTGTGAGAGCTGTGAGAGCTGTGGCCCCGGCACGTGTGCTTTGGCACATGGTCACATGGATGTATCAATGGCGCATGCAGATCGTATCCTTGTCCATCGTCACCTTGAAACACAAAAGCGGTATCAGAATGGTATGGAAATGTGCTTGAAAGGACCGGCTGGCACAAGGTGGCCAAAGCCAGAACGGCTGTTCGGCACATGCATAGCATGTTCAGAAAGCGGATTGTCCAGACCGCCAAGCGGAACGGAAAGAGTAAAATTTTTGAGCCCAAAGGCTAAGTGCGGGGTGCTGCTGATATGCTGAGCCGACTGGGTGCGTCGAAGCAGCTGGAGTCCCAGCTCAAGGATGAGGCCGAGGCTGAGGGAGAAAAGTAGGGGATGCTTGGTATGCTGGCAAACCTTAAACTAAACTCTCCAAGACATCGAGAACCCTCTGGCAAGCCCTACTCCCTGTAAAGCAAAGGAGTGGGCAACAACCAAAGCCAAAAACCTGTCCCCTGTTGTGCCCTAGAGAATTGGCAGCCCCAAGAAACCCCTTACGCCCCGAAGCCATGCACAAACAGCCGCCGCCCCTAACGTTTGCCCGCAACGACCAGGACTTCGTCTTACAGCCTCTAGTGTGCACGGGAGTCTGCATCGACGCCAGAAGATTGCTTGAGGCTCAGGTTCAGGGAGATAGGGCCTGCCCAAAATCAGATCCAAGGATCCACGCTGCCGTCCGTGACCTCACCGTCCGTCACTGCGCCGTCCGTGACCACGCCGCCTTCCTGGGATGTTGGATGGCTTCGACAGGTGGGGTCGACGTGCCGCGAGTCCGAGTTCAAGGATACCGCTGACGAAGGAAAGTAGGCGCAGGGTGCATGATGCATGTGCGATTGACTCTGACCCGTCTTATCAACGACAAGTTGACCGGAAGCACATCAAAACCCAAACAAACAAAACCTTTGGCCGTTTTGATGCCCTTTTGCATCTGCAGCGCCTTTCCATGATCTAAGTTCTCGACGCCTGTTCGCCCGAGGAATCCCCCATCCCCACAAGCCATGGAGCTTCTTTTGCCTCACCGTCCCCACGGACAAGCAACAGCACGGCAGGATTCCAAAAGCAGCGCCCCCCTAACGTTTGCCCGCACGACCAGGACTTCGTCTTACAGCCTCTAGTGTGCAGGGGAGTCCGCATCGACGCCAGAAGATTGCTTGAGGCTCAGGTTCAGGGAGATAGGGCCTGCCCAAAATCAGATCCAAGGATCCACGCTGCCGTCCGTGACCTCACCGTCCGTCACTGCGCCGTCCGTGACCACGCCGCCTTCCTGGGATGTTGGATGGCTTCGACAGGTGGGGTCGACGTACCGCGAGTCCGAGTTCAAGGATACCGCTGACGAAGGAAAGTAGGCGCAGGGTGCATGATGCATGTGCGATTGACTCTGACCCGTCTTATCAACGACAAGTTGACCGGAAGCACATCAAAACCCAAACAAACAAAACCTTTGGCCGTTTTGATGCCCTTTTGCATCTGCAGCGCCTTTCCATGATCTAAGTTCTCGACGCCTGTTCGCCCGAGGAATCCCCCATCCCCACAAGCCATGGAGCTTCTTTTGCCTCACCGTCCCCACGGACAAGCAACTGCACGGCAGGATTCCAAAAGCAGCGCCCCCCTAACGTTTGCCCGCACGACCAGGACTTCGTCTTACAGCCTCTAGTGTGCAGGGGAGTCCGCATCGACGCCAGAAGATTGCTTGAGGCTCAGGTTCAGGGAGATAGGGCCTGCCCAAAATCAGATCCAAGGATCCACGCTGCCGTCCGTGACCTCACCGTCCGTCACTGCGCCGTCTGTGACCACGCCGCCTTCCTGGGATGTTGGATGGCTTCGACAGGTGGGGTCGACGTGCCGCGAGTCCGAGTTCAAGGATACCGCTGACGAAGGAAAGTAGGCGCAGGGTGCATGATGCATGTGCGATTGACTCTGACCCGTCTTATCAACGACAAGTTGACCGGAAGCACATCAAAACCCAAACAAACAAAGCCTTTGGCCGTTTTGATGCCCTTTTGCATCTGCAGCGCCTTTCCATGATCTAAGTTCTCGACGCCTGTTCGCCCGAGGAATCCCCCATCCCCACAAGCCATGGAGCTTCTTTTGCCTCACCGTCCCCACGGACAAGCAACAGCACGGCAGGATTCCAAAAGCAGCGCCCCCCTAACGTTTGCCCGCAACGACCAGGACTTCGTCTTACAGCCTCTAGTGTGCACGGGAGTCCGTATCGACTCAGGTTCAGGGAGATAGGGCCTGCCCAAAATCAGATCCAAGGATCCACGCTGCCGTCCGTGACCTCACCGTCCGTCACTGCGCCGTCCGTGACCACGCCGCCTTCCTGGGATGTTGGATGGCTTCGACAGGTGGGGTCGAAGTGCCGCGAGTCCGAGTTCAAGGATACCGCTGACGAAGGAAAGTAGGCGCAGGGTGCATGATGCATGTGCGATTGACTCTGACCCGTCTTATCAACGACAAGTTGACCGGAAGCACATCAAAACCCAAACAAACAAAACCTTTGACGACCAGGACTTCGTCTTACAGCCTCTAGTGTGCACGGGAGTCCGTATCGACTCAGGTTCAGGGAGATAGGGCCTGCCCAAAATCAGATCCAAGGATCCACGCTGTCGTCCGTGACCTCACCGTCCGTCACTGCGCCGTCCGTCACTGCGCCGCCTTCCTGGGATGTTGGATGGCTTCGACAGGTGGGGTCGAAGTGCCGCGAGTCCGAGTTCAAGGATACCGCTGACGAAGGAAAGTAGGCGCAGGGTGCATGATGCATGTGCGATTGACTCTGACCCGTCTTATCAACGACAAGTTGACCAGAAAGCGAATCCCCCATCCCCACAAGCCATGGAGCTTCTTTTGCCTCACCGTCCCCACGGACAAGCAACAGCACGGCAGGATTCCAAAAGCAGCGCCCCCCTAACGTTTGCCCGCAGCGACCAGGACTTCGTCTTACAGCCTCTAGTGTGCAGGGGAGTCCGCATCGACGCCAGAAGATTGCTTGAGGCTCAGGTTCAGGGAGATAGGGCCTGCCCAAAATCAGATCCAAGGATCCACGCTGCCGTCCGTGACCTCACCGTCCGTCACTGCGCCGTCCGTCACTGCGCCGCCTTCCTGGGATGTTGGATGGCTTCGACAGGTGGGGTCGAAGTGCCGCGAGTCCGAGTTCAAGGATACCGCTGACGAAGGAAAGTAGGCGCAGGGTGCATGATGCATGTGCGATTGACTCTGACCTGTCTTATCAACGACAAGTTTTCCGGAAGCGCATCAAAACCCAAACAAACAAAGCCTTTGGCCGTTTTGATGCCCTTTTGCATCTGCAGCGCCTTTCCATGATCTAAGTTCTCGACGCCTGTTCGCCCGAGGAATCCCCCATCCCCACAAGCCATGGAGCTTCTTTTGCCTCACCGTCCCCACGGACAAGCAACAGCACGGCAGGATTCCAAAAGCAGCGCCCCCCTAACGTTTGCCCGCAACGACCAGGACTTCGTCTTACAGCCTCTAGTGTGCACGGGAGTCCGCATCGACGCCAGAAGATTGCTTGAGGCTCAGGTTCAGGGAGATAGGGCCTGCCCAAAATCAGATCCAGGGTTCCACGCTGCCGTCCGTGACCTCACCGTCCGTCACTGCGCCGCCTTCCTGGGATGTTGGATGGCTTCGACAGGTGGGGTCGAAGTGCCGCGAGTCCGAGTTCAAGGATACCGCTGACGAAGGAAAGTAGGCGCAGGGTGCATGATGAATGTGCGATTGACTCTGACCCGTCTTATCAACGCACAGGTTGACCTGAAGAAGTTTGGTCCTAAAAACCAGGGCTTCGTGTTTAATCAGGGGAGTTGCCCCTGACCACTGCTTGAGGCTCAGGGTGGGAATGTCAGGTTCAGGGATATATAGGGCTTTCAGATACCCAACATCACATCCGAGCATCCACACTGCCGTCGGTCACTGTGCCGTCAGGGACCTCGTCGCCCTCGACGGTCTCTTCGGGGAGGTCTCCCTCCATGGTGTCCTTCTTCAATGGTGCTCGGGGCTTATGTCTTGGGGCTGATGCTTCTCGAGTGGTGCCTTGAGCGTCAGGACTAGGTCACTTTGATCTCGCTTGAGCACTGTGCTTGCTAGGATGGGATGCTTCTTCCTTGTTGCTGAACTCGTTGAGTGGCCGCCACAGCAAGTGGCCGAGACTTGTACCCATTCTACCCATGAAGCTCGGTGTCTGTTTTGGGCGTGTACTTCAGTTCTTGTAGCGGCTACTGTGCCAGAGGAAACAAAGCGTGTGGTCAAAGACGCATCCAAGAATCCACGCTGCCATCGGTCACGGCGTCATCTGGGATAGCGCCGCTCTCGCCCTCGATGGTCTCTTCGGGGAGGTCTCCCTCTATGGTGTCCTCCTCATATCGAAAAGACTGACCGTTCTACAAGAAACAACACAGGTTAACTGCTGAGCAGCTTGAGAACGGGATGCGAAGCGATACAGGCTGCGTCCCCGGAGACTTGGCACCGAATGCCAAACTCAAGCCCCATGCCAGGGCACACAACAAGCCCCGCCCAGGGCCCCCATAGTCCCTCCTTGCGTGCCTATGGCTCAAAGCACGTCCTCAGGGTCCGTGCCGTGAACCACGGCACACCCCCTTCACACCCCAAAGATCCGAAAAGCAACGGCCGGCCTTCATGTAATGTTGTATCCTCTTGTATGCGATCCCTCTCCAACGAAAGTCTCCAGGGTTGAACAAGGTGGTGGATACAGGTACGTGCCCAGGCGTGGTGAAGATACTTCGGGTGGCGGGGCACCTTTCATACAGGGGGGTGCTGGGCCGGACAGAAATCAGGGTCCTCATAGGCCCGCAATTGCTTGGTGGGTGGGTGCAGAATAAAGGGTCAGAAACTCGACTTTGCATAACGATCGTCGCCCTCAAACCTGGGAACCAGGCAGTCGACCCTGGGCTGCACATCCGCAAAAGGAAGCGACTCAGAATCATCTAAGGTCCCCGAGTCTGGCTGAGGCTTCATGGAACTATGCACCGAAAGCTGCTGAAGGCCCCCGTCCTCCGTGGAAGCGTCGTCGTCGTCGGTCTTTGCACCACTTCCTTCAATGTCGTCGGGCTTGGCTGCGCTTCCTTCACTGCTGTCAGGGTAGGTGACGCTTCCAGCGCCGCCGTCAGGGTATGTACCACTTCCATGGGTG